GCAACCAGGAAGAGCACTCAGAGCCGAACTAATCCAAGAAAGTCTCAGAATAAGCCCCTTGAGCAGAAAGTGAGGAAGTATAAGGAAGCTGCAGGAACTTTCTCCCGGCCACCTTCCTATGAGAAGGGAATAAGACGTAGCCAATCTTTGTCAGCGAAAGGCTCTTTGCTTGGATATCCCATTCGAAGTGCACAGTCCCATGAAGAGATGAACATGTCAGGACTGCCACCAAAAGCAGCATCAAGAGATGGAAGGGTTCCTGGTCGAAGAGGAAGCCAACCTATGGAACAAGTGCCTAAGGTACCTAGCAGCAGCAGCAGCTTAACAGATGGGATCCATCATCCAACCAGCAGAAACATCACTAATCTAACTTCATCCGAACGAAATAAAGAGCATCATCGTCAAGAAACACCTAACAGAGGAAGACAGGAAGTAAAGCAAGTGCCTGCTATGAACAAAGAGGACAGATACGATTCCAGGTTTACTGGGCAAGGTTCTCACTCCCATTATTTAAGTGTAGAGAGTAACAAAATGCTAAACAGCCCACAAAAGCAACGTCGACATAACCCCCAAAACATGATGCCAGAAGATCAGGTTTCAACTATGGACACCAACATGGGGATAAACAGGGATTCCTGGTCAGTGTCTGAGCTGTCTTCCCCATCTTTTTCAATAGCTGACAGCGACCAGCTACCCCCAAAGAATGTTACCAAATCAACCAAATGGCAACACTTTGAGGCTTCTGGTCAACATGGACAAGTCTCTGACACTTACAGTCCAAGCTTGTCTAGCAGCCAGGAGGTCCAGTCTCGCCCTTCCTTTGGGGTGGCCACGAGTCGCCAGTTACCACCATTTTACACCAGTAGGGAGAGTGAAGAGTATAGCCACTCACCAAGCGTAGGGTCTCTGTCATCCCAACAGTCACAGAGAAACTGTGTTGTGGACGATGATACCGGTGAGGCGTACTACCGATCTGCATCCTGCAACCCTCCTCCTCCACTCAGTGATGCCTTTGATGATGATGATGACCCCTATGACGACCCTTATCTCTACCCAGGTATTTCTTTGCGCTGTAGTTTGTGGTTTTCTCCCTCTCACTGGATGAAGGGAAACCTTGTGCAGTGAAAATGCTTCCTGTCAGCTTCTGTTTGGATTACATTGTTAGTGAGAGTTCTGCCTATCTCAGATAGAATTATAAACATCAGAGCCTGCAATGTAATTATTGTATTTTGGGATGAAGAAATGAAGACTTGAAGTGAGTGTTTGGGATTGATTTTGATTCAGATAATGTCCTACATTGTATAAAAGATACAAATCATGGCCTCCGATTGTAAGCCCTTTGAAGAAAGAAAACGATTTGAATGAAAAACAGAAGCTGACTACTCTTGCCATTCCAAAACAATATATTTCAACATTTGCATGATGTTCTGCTGCAGTAGTCACACCAACTGGGTGCTGTGAGATGAAACGGGAAAACAGCTCTTGCCAGCAATTCACTGCTTTCAGCAATACAAGTCAATCTTTGGTTCGCACAAACACTCTACCTGCTTGATGTTGATTTGTTTGAACATGCCAACTATTTTGTGAAAGGTTATCGTTGTGGAGAAATACGGGAATACCTTCTCTGTCTCTTTTCTGCTTTTGCACTTGAAATGATTTGTTCTGTACCTGTCCAAGACTACATGTACACATGTATAACTAGTCATCTTCACATGTATATCTAGTCCTCTTCTGTGGTCTGTTATAGTCTCTAAATTTTCATTCATTTGTCTTAAATGTGACTTTTTTGTCCACACACTTTAGTAACCATTCATTGCTTTCGTAACCCTTTCTTCTTTCAAAATTCTGTACGTAAATCTTCACTTGTGTTAATGTCTTGGAAGAAAAGGTGCATCCTTAATCACTTCTAAAGCATTTTTTTCATCCTGCCTTCCTTCTTAAATGAATGACCGTTTCCCATCACTTGCAGACTTAATACTAGTGTCTGCTGAGTGCCAGAAGGGTGTTATTTCATTGATACATGTATGAGTTTAATAACGTCCTTGTTGTCCTCAGCAGACAATATTTTGCTCTATGCAAGTGGATAAAAGTGCATACTGATTTTGCTAGGCAGTAGTAAAGTGTAGCAAATTGAAAGGATTGATAAATCATCGAAGGAACTAATACAACTGGAAAATAATCTTTAAAATGTTATGCTGCCGAATAAGCATTGATGCATTGACTGTCTGGGAACATTGGAATCATGAATATAAATTGAATTGTATGTTGAGTGTCAGAAGGGCTTTGACTCTATGATAATGTCTATGAGATTTCACCTTCTGGCTCTTAGCAGAATAAAAAAGCACATCACTTTAAAAATCTACTATTATTCTGTGCATTTCAAAAAGTACTATATCCGCCTGATATTTAGTTCATGTAAACCTTATCGTGCATGACTATCTGTGTTCCTATCACTGCATGTAGTCACTCTGATAGTCACTCTGATGTAGTCACTCTGGATGTAGTCACTCAGATAGATAGTCACTATGATTAGTCACTCTGATAGTCACTCTGATAGTCGCTATGATAATCACGCTGATAACCACGCTGAACCAGACAGAATGAATCTATTCGGTAACACATTTAATGGAATTTATATTAAACATTTACAGTGACCATTCATTCGTCCTGACATTGAAAATATTTGAAATGATGAACTCCTCTAGCTCTCAAATCCATTGTATAATGATTGACCATCCATATTGAAATGTAGTGTTAATAATAATAATAATAATAATAATAATAATAGTGCAAACTTATAGAGCGCACACACCGTCCATCATAATCTTTATGAAAGAGAAGGAATAGATATCCCATGCTAAACCTGATGCAGTGAAAAAATGGAATGATCTACAATGTACATGTACTACAAATAATTACTACATTGTGATTCTAATTATTAGGGCCTATGACAAAAGGCTAACATGATTGTAGCATGTTGTCACCTAAGAGCTGGAATAGCGTTAAATCCTATCATTCTACACATAGTCAACATCTCCCTGACTCATTGATGATAATATCATTACTAAAGCATCTGGATGCACTTTATATGAAGTTAGAAAGGTGTACACCATCCCAGAAACACTTGCAACATTTCTCAATATATTTGTATAAGTTTTTTTTAAGTGGATAAAAGGGTAATGGAGGGTTATTGAAAAAAAAGTGCATGAACTATACAAAAATCACCTTTTGCTAGAAGCCTTCAAAACTCAATGTCATTTTCACTCTTTTAGAGTTGTGCACTTTTTCCTTGGAGCCGTTGACTTTGAATCATCTCCAATAAAGATCAAACTGCTTTTTATTATCATTTAAGGCTGTTTTCGCCTTCATGATTTCTATTTTAAATATCCTCCGCTGCAACTTCTTTATAAATTATGCATGGCTGTATTTAGCAATAATAAATCATGCAACATTTGCACAACTCAATTTTAACTTTGTCTTGTCGATCAAATACAATAACTGTTGAATTAGTCAATGATTTCTCATTATGCTGACTGCTGAGAGAAATCTTAATTGTTTTTATTAAGATTTGAGTCTCACAAGAGAAATACATGTAGGGTTATTATAAATATTCATTTAGCCTAAAGCACTAGCAGTACAGTGTACTTCTGTTATGCAACTGTTCACTAACAAAAGATTTAAAGGAAATACAAAATCATTTACCCCTTATTTATGTATGTATGTTATTGAATGTTTAATTTTTAATGGGTGAGTATTTGAAATTTGTGAAAAAAACACACTTGTCGTGATGCAGGTAGTAGCATTTGTCTTTTTTGTCTTAGTGGCAAATTGTCTTTTATATCTCACGTTACATGTATTTCTCTGTGAAAATACACCATACTTCCAAGCAGTTTTAATGTTTCTGTCTTTTTAATCGCCCTTTTTTTTTTTTTTTAAACATTTTTTCAATGATTATAATTTAATTGTTCTTATTATATGTGTATTATATTTGTGAAATGTGCATATTAAGAATTTTGATAAACTTGTGGTTTTAAATGCTTTGTGAATGTAAAGTGTTGTGCATGATATTTTTTGGCATATATTGCATGTGCATGCTGTTTTTTCTCAGTTGACTTATGTCATTTTATCCTTTCATTCTTATTTTCTGACAAAAGGAATCAATGTTTTGCATTTTGCGTGATTTGCATTTTGCATTTTGGGATGAAAATGATTTGCGATCAAACCCCCTTTCATTTGAAATTTATTTGCTTTTGCTTAAACATCTTTCATGAAATATTCCAAAGTATTTTTAGTAAAAAACAATCCAGATTATCAGATGATCATAATCCTCATTACTTTGCTCATTTTACATTAGCATACCACATACAGATCATTATGTCTAATGAACATTTAGACCGTTATCATTTTTTTCCAAATCATTTATAGATAATCACACAGTTGTCAACATATACCTCAAGACCAACATTTGTAGAAATCTTCTCGATGATATTTCATACACAAGTCCTGAACCAAAATGACATTTGGGGAATCTGAAGATGATTTTTTTTTTTTCTTTTTTGGAACTCTGCAGTTTGTGGTTGCTTCGTCTTTTAAAAAAAATCCAGTGCCTATCAAGTATTTTGATAAGGAGGAATATCGCAGGAATGAAAACAGTTTTGTATTAAGATTATCATTAGAATCTTAATAGGAAGCAACACTTCTTACCCTAATAAAGACAGTATCACTGCGACAATCTAAAAAGCGAGAGTTTTCTTCTTTTGATGAAGGTTTTATAAAAGTGTTGTACATTTGATACAGGGTAGAAATCGATGAAATTGACAAGTAACCCATGACTGTGAAATCGTGTGATCGCTCTTCGTTATTAAAATGATCATCCATAAGCTTTAACCTACACATGTACTAAATAGTAGTCAGACATCATGCATTTATATAATTGTCTTGTGATCATGACTGTATAGACCATGTCCCCCATATTTTGGTACTAATCTACCCCCTAACAGAGACCAAGACATCCACAGCAGGCCCAATTCAGCCTTCATTACAACCTCCATCAAACCAACAACCTCCTACAACAACATCTTCACTATCCTCTCCGTCGCCCTCGTTGTCCCCCGCCTTGCACGGCGCCCCGCCTCCCATCACGGGAGGGGGGTTTGCCGACGGGGTGGTTCTGAGGACAGGGTTGACACGGAGCGCCTCCCTCTCACGGACGACGGGGTTGCCGAAGAGGAGGCAGCGGTATAGCGAGGGAAGCGGGCTGACTGCTGCTCAGAGACTTGGGATAAAGACCCCGCCCCCAGCAAGATTATCAGGTGCATGCTTCATTTCATTCTCCTTGGAACACCTTACTCCTCCCCCTCCCCCTCCCCCTCCCCCATCCGCATCTAAATAACTCTACCCACCTATTAATGGCATTATCCCTCCTTCAAATTCCCCCTTCAAATTCCCCCATCCATTGATTTGATGACTGATTTTCAGCCCCCATAAGGCTTTTGACTGTAGGGTCCTATTTGTCAGGTCATCCATGTACGTATCATTGCTCTGCCATTTGAACATCCTTGTAAATTATCCAAATATTGTTGTTTCTTTCGCAACATCCCCCCCCCCCCCCAAAAAAAAAAAAAAAAAAAAAAAAAAATTGTATTAAAAAAAAATGTATTAAAAAAAAAAAATGTATAAAAAATCCCAATAAAAAAAAATAATGTTGGTATATTTTTTATATTGAATAAAGACAACAGAAATTAATGAATAGTGCATTAGAGAAATAACAAAACTTGTCTCCTGAAAGACAAGTTGTGAGAATGTCTCAAACAAACTTACATTATGTGCATTTTTCAAAGCAAGGTTATTGTGAATGATTGCTGTAAAGAGCCTTTTCATTCTACAAAAGTGCTGCACATAGTTTGAAAGTGGCAAGTGTAAATATATTGTCAAGGACTCTGATCCTAGACCAGTTGATCAACTGCCTGTGATTTATCCATTAGACCCTAATTTATTTGTTTGGAGGGAGGAGGGGGTTCTATTATCACCTCCCACCTGCCATTTCATTTCATCCCTTTCCATTTAAAAGTTCCCTGCAACTCATTTGATTCCTTTCTTATTTTATTTTGCATCAACTTCAGGAATATTCCTAACAGAGCTCAAATATATCAATCAGCTTTCATGAAGATACAGGATGTGTGCATAAAAGTGAATGTAATGATTCACTACATTCCCTCATTTTGATATAGAACATCTCAAATTACATCAAAATCACTGAACTTCAAATTGAGTCCTATAGTTTTCAGCATCATACTGCATACAAATCATGATTTAAATTAAGACATTCATACATTAGTTTCATGAATATTTCAAGCTCTGTTATACGTTAGAAATCATTCCATTTTATGCTCCACCTTGTACCTTCATTTCAAGCTAAAGGGAGAAGGAACAAAAAAAGAAAAAGGAAAGAAAAGGATAGATGCCCAAATTGCAAAAAAGCTGAATATACTGCATGTTATAATTTGATTTCATTCATTCAATTCCATTTCTGCATGTTTTAATTTGCTTCCTCTTTTGCAGGCTGAGAGTTTGTTTGTTATTTGTTCATTTTGATGCATTTTGTTTGCCATATTTTTATGATTTCTTTTATTTAAAATGCTACATGTTTTAAATGTTTAATGGATTATGTGCTGCTTTATTCTTTTCTATGATTTCAAGTGAATTATATATTATTTATATTTACGATTTTTTTTCTTATTTTTGTATATTCATGTGAACTGATTTTTATTGGATGGGTTCATTAAACATTTCAAACATATATGTTTAGAAGGATGATTGCCTAAGTGATTTTGTTAAAACTATTACAATATCTTGTTTTATTCCTCTTCTTGCCTCCTACAGTATTTCAATTGATATCCATTGTGAAATGAAACGTTGCTCACTTTCGTTGGATATAGAAATTGTTTTCATTTCCAGATAACAGTGCTTAATACAGAAGTATGATATAGATTTTTAAGATGTTTTTTCCCCATTTATTTTGTTACTATCATTTTCAAGACATTTTTCTCAATGATTGTTTGTTATTGTATGTGTGCATGTGTGCGTGAATTAAGTAAAACTCAACTAATTCAATAATGCATATGATTATCATTACTATTAAGGTGAAAGAGTTAGAATTTAGTAATAGGGCAGCAGTTAAAGAAGAAGTATTCACAAAAAGTGCACCAAATCCATCCTCAGTCAAAGTCCATCTCACATAGACATGATTTCAGCCATGTATATCTCTGTTACTGATTATTTTTCAACTTACAAAAAAATTAGCTTGCAGTAAACTTTAAGACATTGTTTCTCTGTTGTGAGATATATTATCTGCTGCCATCTTGTGTCAGGAAGAAAGTGTATTGACCCCCAACTGTTATGATGATCTGTGAGGGTTTTGCTGCAATGAAAGTGGTAAACTCATCAATCTTCACCAATCCACATCGAAAATATAATCCCAAGCTAAACCAAAGTTTCAATCACACATATGAAGTTGGCTGCTGCAGGGAAAGTAAAACACTCATATTTTGACCTATTTGAAATATAAACCCAGACTTAACAGAACTGTTTATACCTCAATCACACAATTAAAATGGAATTGAGGAAAAAACTGTAATACTAGACAGGTTCACTGTCCCCCCAAATGGTGAAAAATGAATGTGTTGGGATTCCTTTAGGTCCCATGCACTAAAATTCCTGAAAGATCGCTCTATTCCATGATCATGTGTCTCGTTTCTGTGTCTTTATATGGACTAGCAAGTCTGTTGACATGTATTGAAGAAGAAGAAAAAGAAGAAGTGTGAAGTTGGTTTGATGGTGTAAATGAGTGTGAACAGCACTCCTGGATTGGTGCTGCTGCTGCAATGAAAGTGGTATACTCAAGTGATGACCCATGACTATGACTACGGCCCCTGCAAATATGAACAGATGGTTCAAATTGTATACAGTAAAGGAAATTGAAAATGTGAAGCCCCTTTTTTCCAACTCCCCCCTCCCCTCGAAAATAGCTAAATGTTAAGCTCCGTCCATGAAAATGTTGTTAGAAATTATAAATCATTTCAAAACACAAACTATTTTCAGAATGATCAGATGTTGTTTTAAGGTAGAGGTATTGTTAAGCAATGTTTATCATGTTAGCAGTAATCAGCCATGCAGGGAAAAATATTTGATTTTTTTTTTTTTTTTTTTTTTTTTTTTTGGGGGGGGGGGGGCTACTTTTCAAGCTTGCTTGCATGAAAATTACACTCTTTAATTTGTTTTGCATTGAACTCTATGCAAATTTGGGGGGGCTCTTTTATGACTTTCGGGGGCTCTTTTTGGCTTTTCGGGGGCTAATTGGTCCCGAGCCCTGTGTATTTTTCCCCTGCAGTTATGTGCCAGTGTATCCCTTAGCCAACCTTAACCTTGATGAATCCCCTTGCATGTCAATATAGCCCACACCTACCAGATAACAAATGAAATTATTTAATGAAAGATCTGCGTTGGTTAGTGTTGAGAGATCTGGAAAGAGCATTATAACTCTCAACCGCTCACGCCTTGATTAAAAATGACAATGCTGATCAGCTGTACAGCTAGATAGTACAGCCCCAGGTTGAGATATTGCGCTAGGATTACTACCAAGGGTTGGCCAATTTAGAAGGAAAATCAAGCGCTACAACCACTGAAGACGACAGAAGCTTTATGAGCCAATAATCTTGCATTTGGGGATAGCAAATTTTGTGGAAACTCGGCAGGAGAATTGCTTTCTGTATTCAGGTTTGGGAGCTTATTACTCTTTGATACTTCAAAGGGGGTAGTTCCCCTTCCTCTCTTTCCCTTATCCGTGGACTTGTCGGAAACAATTAGCAAGCGTTATTTGAGGTATATCAGGACCATAGTGAGGATAGCTTGAGGAGTGCTTAATAGTGCGGCAAGTTACATAACAGATTTTGGTGCGGTTTAATGTTTGTTGGTGTCACTTTATAGGCCAGAGACCTCTGAAAAAAAATACACCAGTGTTGAAAGAACGGCAGCCAAAACCTCTTCTGATTTTCTTAACCAACTGGTGTAATTATGATTGATACAGCTCATAATCTTTGCAATTAATTGGGCTTAATTGATGAAGAAGCCAGTGCCATTGTACCCTTTCCTTCGCTATAGACCCATCTATTGAAATTGTTGTTGGGTTAAGTACATAGCAGAGATCTATTTCATGGAATAATTCATTCATGCTTGTTTGAGGATATACATTCAACATTCTTCATGCATTCCGCCATCTGGGACTCGCATGTCAACTTTCAAGGTAACTCTCTCTTTTTCTTCTACATGAAGTTATTAATTACCTCTCTTCTGTTTTATGATGTTAATTTAATTAATACACCTGGTATATGTATTTAAGCTTAGGCAATATAGTGCTGTGATAGTAACTCAAGAGAAAAAGGAAATGTTTTTCACAGAGTTGTATGCATGTAAGGCTGTAGAGGCATACATGTAGATAGCTGAGAGTACCAAATGTAATGATGTATCTTGTTTTCTCACTGTTTTAGCAAAAAGAAGTTTGGAACTCTTGTGATTGTAATTTTGAGTTAAAACCTGAAAGCTCAGAAAAAGGAAATGGTTGATGGCTTGAAATGCATTACAAAATAACATAAAATCAAGCTCTTGAAATACTGAGAGAATATTTGGAGTTCTTCAATGAAAAAAAAAGTCTTTTGTACGATATTGAAAAGTAAATTAATCTTGACCCCATTAATTTAGTATATTCCTTTCCTTGAGAAAGTTTGTCATTTATAGGGGCAAAGTTAGGTTGAAATTGGGTCTTTGGTCACATTTAAGTTTAGAATAGGTGTACAGTTGTTTTTGATCCAGGATTAAAGGTAGGAAGGTGGTTAGTAGTACTTAGGTTTGCAGAGGCTTGCCACATCTCTACCTTTATCACCCCGCAACTGACCTCATGAAGCCCATGTTGCCGGGCTTTGAGTGTGACTGCACCCATGGTTTTGTGTATTTGAAGCACATGGCTTGCTATCACTGTGAAGCATGTAAGACTGTTGTATCAATCATCAGCCCGTCTATCTGAGCTTATATGGGTCTGACAGGGGTCTCTTCAGTGCATTGCCTAGTGGGGTGCCATCATCTTAACAAGACTTCACTTCTCACATGGTCTCTGTGGAGCCAGAAGGGCATTAAGGACCCCCCCCCCCCCCCAGCAGACAATATTAAAGGGACATTTCATTCTTGTTTCAGCTGCTACAAAAAGTGCATTGGACATCAAGAAAAACATATCTCTGACAAGTACTAAGTAGTAATGCTT